TGTGTTCAGAAAAATTCGAAACATTCAAAATTTGGGCAATGTTTACCTCAGAGGGCCCTCTATTGTTATGCGCAGAACCGATGCGCAGAACGGACTTGACTTCCCCTTTAAATGCCCAACACTTTCAACTAAAGTCATCTGGCATTAGACAGAGTAGATAACAAAGAAAGAGGGCATATTTAACTAAAGACATATTGCAGTTAATGGGTTAAGCCTGGTTTTCATATATGGTCGTAATGGTCATAAAGATACAATCTTTCTCAACGGCCAGATTATAATAGTTCTCTACCTGTAAACCAGTCATATAAATTATAAGTAACCACTCTGCCTATTTTCAGTTCTAAACTGTTGTATTTTGGCTGTTGAGAAAGATTGTGACTCAATTTTTATGACCGTACAGGAGGGATGGGCACTAGGCAGATTGTCTAGCTAACTATTAATAACACCTTGAAAAGTTAGATGTATTGTAACTTAATGAAATTACCAATGGTTGAGCAGAAATATTGTGTTATAACTTATTACAATGTGCTACTATTCTTTTTAGAAACCAACAGAGTTGCTTGAAGAACAGACCCGTCTAGCACAGCAAATTCTTGCTTGTTATATGAAGAACAGAGAAACAAGATCTGTTTTGAAAATAAGTTAAGGTGATTGCATGTGAAGTTACCACAGGCAGCAGGATGGCTGCATTATGCTGATGAGAGATGACCTTCGTCCTTCTCACAAGGGAAGAGTGATACTGGATGAAAACAGAACAGACAAGAGGTTGAAAAACATTCCAAAAATATTTTCATTGAATTAAAATGCAAAGTTATATAAAAGATAATTTATATAAAAATATACAAAAGTATTTGAAAAGCCTATGGAATAAAAATATTTAAATGTTACTTTAATTAATAACTTGAAATATTTTGCACTAAGCAAAATGGAAAAAAGAAAGTACTGTGTACAATGGAATTTATAAATTTTATAATAATTGAAATTTTAGAATGAAATCTGACTATAGTTCGTTCATGTATTGCAACTGAATGGCAGACTGACAACAAAGCTGAACAACAAATTGCAAAAGTTGCTGGGAGTGAACGAGCTATTATCAGTCAATTGTAGTTCCTATGGAATAATATTTTGTAATGCTCTATATATAAGCACTGTATTATTTATTTATTTAATTTTTCTACAATAAAATTTGTACGTTAAGAATTGCTTTTTGACGTTTGTGTTGTTAGGCGTTGGATAAGCAGTAAGCACCATTGCCTAGTCTTTTCACCTTTCTTAAATTTCCCACCACTCTCACATCATTTGAACATCAAGTTTTGGGTGCCTTCTCGCTTTACAAAAGCTTGAACATTAAAATCTAGGGTATTTTTATGATCGTAACTGCTCGTTTACACTATCAAAGTTTCTGTGATCACAGACACAGTAGGTTTTTTTCAACTTTTGAAAGATATGCAAGAAATGTTTTACCCTGGTTCCAGAGGCTCTTTCTCTGGAACCAGGGTAGCTTGAACATTAAAATCTAGGGTATTTTTATGATCGTAAGGCTCGTTTACACTATCAAAGTTTCTGTGATCACAGACACAGTAGGTTTTTTTCAACTTTTGAAAGATATGCAAGAAATGTTAAACCCTGGTCCCAGAGGCTCTTTCTCTGGAACCAGGGTAGAAATGTTTGAGGGAACTGTCACTTTTAGTGTTTCAAATCAAATCATATTTATTTCCGTAGGGTAACAACCTCTTCAGTAATGTATCACTCGTATCAATGTCAGACAATGACCACCACAATTCCCTCCATTTCTTACAGATCCTTCAGTCAGATAAACTTTGATAGTGTATAAAGACTATAAAACCAGCCATTAGGCCTGACAGTAACATTACGCTTTCATTTAATATTGTGCATTGCCAATAAGCAGAAGGTTATGGATTTCGTCTTAAAGAATCATTGACACTCAAGTACTTCAACTTGGGAATTCTATCAGACTTGCAACTAATTGTTTCAACACTATCATCTTAGGATTAGTTCTAACTTTCACTATGCATTGAAACAACAACAACAACAACATGTCCTATCTCTTATCTTCAATTCTTATTATTCAATGTCCGGCTTTTTTAAAATGCTGATTGTGGATAGCTCCTATTCCAGACCCTATAGGTTTGAGTTGTTGGAAGGTTATATAGGCTAAACAAGTTAGTGATCGAGTTGTGGTATCAACGTAACATAATATGCCATGCAAGTACTTCATTGACATTGAAGATTCAGTCTGGTACAGATATTCGGTACAGCATAATCCCCTATTATATTATTAAATATTATTACGACATCATACTCAGGGGTATGGTCCCTTTTCGGTACAGGGTGTCCCAAAAAACGAAAACTATTGAAATAACGTATTGTCAGAATTTGAATGCTTCAGCACTCTGCTGAGCCCACATGTGCATAAAAGCTTCACATCAGTAAATTTTATGCATAAAGAAACTGTTTGTAAGAGAGATTTATACGCAGCGTTTTAAATTATTTTTATGTTAGACAAAACGAAGTAAAACTCGTTGTTCTGCAGGGAGTTGAACCATTTTCTCCTGAACTGATAATATTTGACTAATTTGCGATTTTATCATTTTTCCTTATATCAAGTTATTATCTTTTAGAATTTAAAAAGCTGCTTTAAATTCCCAAGAACACAAAATCGTGCGCTTAAACCCATCATGAGCCGCAATGCGCCCTACTTATTTTTTTTACTTCTCTTAAGGCGGATTTCCAGTTCTTACACGAAGCTCCTCGCAGCTCGCTTTGCGTTCAGCGTTGTGCTAGGGCATTCAATTCTAACAATACGTTATTTCAATAGTTTTTTGGGACACCTGTAGATCTCTCCCCGGACGAATTCTTAAAAAGGGGCTAGTCAGTCTAGTGTCATTCCCGATGAAGGCCTTCGCTCGAAACACCAGGTAGTTGATCCCTATCATTCTACAGTGTCATGAAAGAACTTGTAGCGAGGTTCAGGTGACGAGATTGTGACAGAAGGTGCAGTTTTTCAATTACATTTATAAATTTCGAAGGTGGCGGTCTAACGTGGCCACCCACGCCAGCAAACTCTTTTGTTTGTTTTAAACGACCGGAGTTTTAAACGACCGGAAAAGAAGGAATGAGATTGGACTTCAGTAAAAACACGAAAACATCAACAGATGAGAGAACAAACCGTGCATGAGGAGTGCTTATATCAGAAATGTTTTTGACTTAATTTTTCTCAATTCAAATGTACATGCAGAGATAGCAAGCTTAGTTGACGATCACTAGGTTGAAGGTCCAATCATAGGCAATGGCCTTTTCAATTGCCTAAATTAATTGTTTCCTGTTTCGATGACGTAAATCGGTACAAAGGTTTTAATGCTTTCAGTCACATTGTGGGGGCTGTAAAGACTGAACGTCAATATCGCAAATACACACCCAGTATGATTCAACCCACACCGTGTCTGTTATACAATTCTAAATATATCTTTAAAAACTACATTAAGCATTAGACATTAGTATTAAAAAGAAATTTTGATATTAATATGTGCTTGAAGAATGTACGCTGTTGTATATTTATCAATCTCGGCGCTTGCTCCCTATTTCTCTGACCACTAGAGCACCGTGCAAATGAAATGATATGGCCCCGAACGGTCGGTGCTAGTCTAGACTAAAGCCAATAAAGGTAGCAACGATTCTCTCTGAGAGATACAATTACCTGAAAAATATAAGTCCGATTTACACAACACAACGTTTAACTAAAACTGTCGCATGCAACCAGGGCGCTGTAAAACACCACAGTTAGTTTTATAGCGAGGGTGTTTTATAGCGCCCTGATGCAACCTACTTATAACTTGAGTTGTACTGTGTAAATCAAGCACACAACTCCTACGACAATGTCAACAAGCAGAACTTTGACAAAGGAAGGTCCTTCGTCGTCTGCCTCCTCCTGCACAGGCCCTCGTGAGGAATTGAGGAGCCTTCGCTCGAATGGTTGATGTCGATGATTACCAACTAGTTTATTTAGCCACGCTAACATTGTCAGCTAATTATGCTGATTTCCACAATGCCGGGCGTGTAAAACAACAACAAATTATTACAATATCGTGTTTTAAAAGCGATGGGTAACTTGATAGCATATTTTGCTTTCTCTTATGTTTTCTGGTATAGAGTTCCATATGGAGGTACCATCATATATAAAACTCTTTTTCAAACTATTCGAACGTGCAAATGCTTGAGCTGTCACAAAAATGGTGGTTTGATATTTCCTTTTTGAAAGTATAAATAATTCTTTAAGACAATTTGGCCTCATATTATGAAGTATTTTAAACATAATTTTCGCTTCAGCTTTCATTCTTTGTGTTTCGAGTGTTTGCCTGCATACATACTGCATGCTTATATATTTCTGGTAATTGTCTCAATCCACAGTGTCTCAAATGACATATCATTCAAAACATGGAAGAGAAAATTCTGCGGAGCAGAATATCAAACAGAATTAATTACTTCTGTCCGTGCAGAACAGAATAAAACCAAACATTAAATAAAAGCGAATATAATTAAACAAATTATAAAGCCCAATAGCCTGAGAGCCCGCAGCTTTGATAACTTTGAAACGAAAAAAAGTAGAAAAGAAGAAACAAACTCACAGGTCGATATATGTTGGAATAACTTGTCGTGGCTAATAAAAAAAAATGCACCTTAACTGTTGAAATGCTGCGAGATTTTTAGTCGTCTACATACACCCAAAATTCATGGGCAATATTAACCCAACATACGTTGGATCATTTCTATTCTGCATGTAAAAAAAATATACTGAATTTCTCTTAAAATTTCCAACAATATATCATGATTCATTACGAAAAGAGAATCAAGTTTAGCCATATGATATGAACAGATAAAACTATTATCACCACACAAGCACTCGACTCAGAATCAAATTTATATATATTAGAAAAATTAATTCTCAATTTCACATTAACACTCACAGTGCAATCAGCGACAAGCACAATATTAAGATGCATGCAGTATTTGTTTCGTAATGAGGACCTAAGCTACTGAATAGCGTGCCTAAAACCGTACTAAAACCATTATTTACGTCCCTCTTACGTTGTCTGTCCATTATAGGTACGAAGACGTTGTAGATAATATATTACATTTTGATTCTTGAGGACATTAGATTTAATCATGCAGGTAGCTCCCATTTTAAACCCCACTGCAATTTTTGATAACCCACTTTTACAAAACCCAATTCCTAAATAAAATATTTTAGAACGCTGATCGAGTGATATAGTCAATCCTCGGTGCATAAAAAGTAGACATATATACTAAATTGAAATTCTGCAACTATTTTGTGAAAATTTTGTGAATAGCGTTGTCAAGACGTTGTGTTTTGTTGATCAGCACAATGGTAGTTATCTGCATGGGTGCATGGCGACCAGCATGCATTAACATCGTTTTCAAGAGATTTTTCACTTGTGATTTACACGTGACGCTCAGAGACAGATATTTGGGCCATGCACAATAAAATATGTTGATTTCATATAGTCTATAGTTTAATATACCTAATTATTACTATTGTTTTAATAAAGTGACTTTGAGCCACTTTCTTCAAACGCCGTCCATGATTCATTTAATTCAATAAAAATTGCTCTTGCTAAGTGTTCCTGTGGTGTGCCAATAAGCTAGAGAAAAAAAATCACTTTTAACAAACGCACATGCAGAGAACGTCCCCCATCAAAAAATGATTGCCCCGTACGTTAGGATAATAGGGAACTTTAGATTCGCTACGGCTACGAAATCTAGTACGACTAGGAGATTTTTTCCATTAAATATCAGCTACTAAAAACTTATAGTATGAGGTTTGGCACGACTGTTGCTATAAAGATGTGAAATGCAAAAGAAAGGACGATAAAAAGTCTGTAGTAGCTGATATTTAACGGAAAAATCTCGTAGTCGTACCAGATTTCGTAGCCTAATCTAAGTGTTAACGTAGCCGACCCAACTTAATATTACTGTTAAATTTCCTGGTTACTTCTCTTGCTATAATCTGGTTAATTTGAGCAGGTAAATGTCAGGTGGCCGTGGCACTAGAGTGTGAGAGATAAATAGCCTGGGTACGAGGTTGGTAAATATCAGGATTATTAGACATCTCACTTGATACAACTCAATTGTTGAAGAGTTTATACATTTATTACACCTAATCAGGAGCAGTTACGAAAAATGAAACTATAAGCCCTCTGGCAGGAATTGAATCTGCGGCCCTGTGATTCCGGTGCAGCGCTCTAACCAACTGAGCTACAGAGAGACAGTTGTCGAGCTCTAACCAACTGAGCTACAGAGAGACAGTTGTCGAGTTCTAACCAACTGAGCTACAGAGAGACAGTTGTCGAGCTCTGACCACAAGTTCATGTACAAGTTAACTTTTATTTAAACATATTTTTGGAAAATTGAGTTTGCCCCAAGAGCGTACACACTCATCTAGGGGGCTTACTCGTTAGAAATTAAAAAAAATACACTGTCACGCACACACGGTTTTTAATATTTGAAAACTAACACGATAGGTGTCGAGAATTATTGAAATAAAAACGTGCTGTTTCTTTAACTTAACCAGACTAGGCACAGTGGATAAATAAGATGTCCACCTAACGTCCTGCTCAAATATCACCAGATTCATGGTTACATTGACCAGGCTATGGTGGGAAAAAAGGTTAAAATGATCGGGAAATTTCACTGGAGTGTTTTTTAGAGTGCAGAAAGCTTAGATATTCACCTTATCTGGATGAACAGACAGAACGGCTCTCTTGTAATATTTCTTCACCTGGAAATAGAAAAAATAAACTTCAGCTTTACAGTGTAGAGATAAGCGTACAATCACTACTTCACATTCAAATATATTGTCTCAGAAATAGATAAATTATTTATAATCCTAGAACTGCGTAACCGTATGTTAAGCACGATTGCATGCTTGAAAGTTTCAAGTTTTCCTGTGGAAAAACATTCGAGAATTTCAGATTTGACTTCCACTTCCTGGCTTAGTACGCATCTGATTGGTTAATCGGATATATTAAAGAATCTGATCAGCGGTAGCGGAAATCAAATCTAAATCTCTCTAATAAAGGCAAGGCAATGTGAACGGATATCAACAAAAAGAGATCCATTGTCTAGCTCAAAATGTCTTCCTGGACGTCATCCAGGCTTGGTTTAAAACGGGATAATGTTAATTTTACATATTTTATGTCAACGCTAACATTTCATGTCGGGGGAAGTAGTTTTCCAAAAATGCTTGGGCACATGTCTTTTATACATAGAGTTTGTACAAGACAAGATTATCCGCACGATCTTATTTTAGTGAGTATATAGTACGTACTGAGGCCAAACGAAGCCAAATACAATCCTGCATTCCTTTACAAACAACGGACGCATAAGACTCACCTGATCAGCTGTGACCAGCTCATGCATGCCAACTTTTTTCCATCTTTTTTCTTCCTCCCACAACACAGTATCCAGTGAACACAACAAAGCACGAATATTCTTTCTTTTGCCATCGCTCCAACCACGGATCTAAAACAACCACAGCTGAGTATAATATAAACCTTACGAAATATACTTGTTCCAAAAATATGTTCATGTTGACCCGATGTTCATAAACAAGTGAAATTACATTTCTCCATTGCCCTCTCAATCGATGTACTACAGTAGTGTCCCGTCAGATCCTAGAAGACGAGAGATTGCTGGCACAAACATCAGTGCGCGTGCTTTTCACCTACGTGGCCAGTTTCTCATGTAATATACAGCCCTCAGTCGCATGTGACTGAGCGCTTTGCCGGATGTATTCTTCTATATGGGATTCCCTATCGCATGCAACAGAGAGTTTCGCAACCAACAACGGCAGAAAACAAAATTACAAATTTATGTATGCGTGCCAGAGCATACATTACGAAACTTTCTTTGCGTCTTAAACGTACTTATCTTTCTTTACAAACAACCCTTAAGCAATAGTCAGTGAATTCACATAAAACACCCCATGCACGACTTGAACGTTTTAAGTGTTGGTGTGGTCATGGCCATGAAAATGATGTAAAAAACGTTTGAACAACACAGTTTGAACCATTACGTCATGTAATCTTCAACAGGACTCCCTATCGCAGGATAGTGTTGTTAGTCTGAAAGTCAAATGGTTGCCTTCAAGTCAAATATAGTTGTTAGTTTTACCTTGGCCTTGACAGGGTCGTCCTCCTCTTCAGTTTGTTGTCGTAATGAATTCATTGTGCTAGGTCCACTCTCTGGCGTTGCTTTAAAACCATGAGAATTCAATATATCACTGAACTCGTCTTTTTTCACGGGTTTGTTCACTGAAACGACAAAAGAATGGAATGAATTAGTCACAGACTCACTTGCAATATTTCGTTCTTTACTTAACCTCTTCATTCTTTCTCAGAAATCAAGGGGCGTTTGTAACTCGGCAGGGCTTTATCCAAGCACCAACTGACCTCCGGTAAACGGAGGTCAAAACTCAATCTTGGATTGAGTTTTTAAACTGAATCTTTCCCCCAACGAAAAGAAAAAACAACAAAAAATCATTTTCACTCGCTTTAGTTTTTGGAATTCCAAGAAACGGGGTTATTTGAGCTGTTTTGTTTTTCAAAATAAAACATGTTTATGTTATAAAGCTACCTCTATCGTATATTTTGTGTCTTGTGCCCACCATGCTTAGATGGCATGCATGTTTGGATTTCTGATAAATATTTCGATCAAATCAGCACAAAATGAAATGGAATGATTGAAGAATAACAAAAAATTTAATATTACAAATAGAAAGTAAATTTTTCAACTAAAATAAAAAATTTACACAACCTTGAGCTGGAAGAGTGAAAAAGCCGCAAAAAAATACGCTAGAATATGAGCATATTGCGCGTGCAATGTTTACATTCACAACCACAGTTACATCCGAGCAACGAAGCGGCAACATAGTCTAAGATGCGGAAATAGCAAAACCTTTCAGGGACTTTGCCCCTTTGCTACATTCCTGCGTCACAAAAACTGAATCTTCTTTTCTAAAACGGGGGTCAGCAAAAGTGCTTGGATAAAGCCCTGCTCGGATAATCTCACATTTGCAAAATCAAGCTAAAATTTTCAACCTGACTAGAAACCATACTGTTTATTGCACTCTTGCCCCAATGGCCTCGTTTTCATGTGGTTATTTCCTTCGTGATTGGGGTCAAGGTCAAAGAGAGAGAGATATTCGTGCACGAAACATGGGAATATGACTTTCATATGCTTGCCATGCTAAAACAAACAACAACATAGAAACGAAGCATGCAAAAATGCAATAAACTGCAGTAAAGCTACAGATTGATACAACTATATGAAAAATACAAGGAATTGTAGCTTTCTTATTGTAATTGATTAATCCTTATCAACAATTGCATTTTATGCCGCTCGTGTTTTTTTTTTACACTTTCTGAAGGTCACGCGTGCACGGACGACGCTTCCTGCACGGAAAACATTTGGTATTCGTCATTCCTTTAATACATCTATTAGAGTTTCACACGTCTGTACGTGGTTTTCAGGCTGACGAGAACACGCAAACTTGCCGAATTTTTGCACCTAGAAAAACTGGTTATAACCCAAAGAAATTTATCGACGTTTCTGTCGTTTTGGAAACTTCATGTTAGTATGTGCAAAGAAGAACTTACCGTAGCCATCTCGTAGACCATATGATCCAAACACTGAACCCGCTGCAGTTGAGAAACTTGGGGCGTAGTTGGGTTTCTGAACTTTTGGACTTGCCTTCCCGCTATTTTGAAAACCATATTTCTGCTGTGCGGGTGTTGCGGGCTTTGGTGTAGGGGAGGGCGATGGAGATTTCTGCTGAAATGACGGGAACGACTCTGGCGCGGTATTACCATTCAATTTCCCAAATCCATTACTTGAGCCCAGACCTCCTAAATCTGCAAACGGATCACTACTTGTCGTTTTCTCTGAAGCCGAAGTATTTTGTTTCCATGAAGTATTAACCTGGGGTGTTAAGATTGGACCGCTGGAACCAGACGTATTGGTACTGAAGTCATAAAAAAGATCAACATTCTTAGCTTTACCCCCAGCAAATGGATCAAAGGACTGAGTTGAATTGGATTGAGGCGGTGTGTTTGAGTTGTTTGAAGGTGAACGAAGGTCTGCAAAAATATCATCTGAAACTTTATTTTCAGTTGGAGAAGTATTAAAGATGTCATCAGCACTCTTATTTCTCTTCATAGCGCCACCACTACTGTTCAATCCAAGTAGATCAACCTCAGAATCTTCTTTCGAATGATTTGATAAGTTCAGTAAATCAAAGTCAGACTGTAACTGATCTTCGCCTAAACTGGAATGTCTTGTTCCCTTCCTTGGTCGTGGAGATGGCACACTGGGATCCCGAGTTTCCCCTGATTGACCCTTGCTATCCTGAGCAAGACCTAGTAAGTCCTCATTTGTATCATTAGTCGTGTGATCAGGTTGTTCCTCGCCCTGCCTGAGGTTGAACAAATCAAAGTTAGCTTCATTATTGCTCCGTTGAGGTTCAGTTTCGCCAAAGAAATCAAACGTTGTTCGGGCGGTATTGTTGGATTCATTTTGTGTGTTTCCACTTCGTAATGCGTCCCATTCCTCATCGCTTTCACTACTTTCCTTCAAAGGTTCTTCATCGGCTTCCCATTCAAGATTCTCAAAAAAAGAACCAGGTTTTCGTTCCGTTTTCGCATTTCCTGAACCAGGTTTAGTTTTATTATTTATTAAACTTGAATCAGCTTTGACATCAGCTGAACCTTGATTCGCCGTATTTTCATGTCGTGATTTCTTGTCCATTTCAAATTGTTCTCTATAACTCATCTCACGATCATCACCTAAAACTAAACACAATATAAATTAAATATTTTAAATTTCACCAAATTCAGCCATGTTTTGATTCCTGTAACTGCACAGTCACTCTCGTTGGTCGTTTGCTAGTCGGGCAAATCACGAAAATAACCCAGACGTCTTCCAATTTGTACTCGTTACTGGAATACAATACATTTTGCGACTAAATCTGCAATTTTTAAGAATTTGATCAATTTTCGTAAAAAAGTCACAATTTGATGGTACTGTTTTCCTTAGTTACCCTTTTTCATTGGCTAGAACCTTTTTGTAAATATCATAAACAAATGATTGTCAATCACTTGCATTCACTTGAAATTAATTTTGACTAAGGAATACTTCATGACTTACAGTTTGTAATAAATATAATACAAATTGTCGTCGAGATATTAGATCTCAAAAAATACACTGCTAGATTTGACAAAAATAACTTACTAGCCTCGTTTTGATCTAGTTTTCATATTTTAAGGGCAATAATATTTTTAATGTCGAAACTTATCTAGGGAGCTTTCGCAATTACGGGCAATTACTGGGCAATAATTACGCTTGCATGTTTCATTCTCAGAATTTCCTAACATTTTGTAACAGCGGCTGCTTCAATGAGCAGCCGCTGTTACAAAATGTAGAATAGTGACAACTAAAAACCGGTCAAAAACATACCAAAGTCCTCCTGACACTGTAGATATTCTTCAGAAGTTGTAAACAGGAGTTGCCTGGTTGCTTTTTCATTCGGGCCAGAATCCCAGACATAAGTCATGTCATTACAATGATTCTCATCAACGGTCACATCCAAAGTTAAGTTGAAATTTTCAGCAAACTTGTTCATATTATTTGCATCAGGTACATCGATATCTTCTCTGAAAATATAAACAAGAAACGTAAGATTGAGATTTCTATAACCCGAATTTCCATGCGCATGATATGATCAAATGTTAATCAAGTTTTACGCCATAGAGCGTTTGCACATGACCTCACAGCCGCCATGTTGGTGTTCCAATTCAAAAGAATTTTAATTAGACTCTTTGTCTGGAACACCAACAAGGCCACCGCGTCTTTTGTCGAGTTGATCCCTGGGGAATGAGTGCAAACGCGCTATACCTAATTACATACTTAGCCTAGACTGTTTTTATCTTTACAACAATTGTGATATTACTTTCTTTGTTAACTGTGTTTATCCCAACCCACCCTGTCAACTTTCCCTGTGGGAGGAAACCCACCCTGTCAACTTTCCCTGTGGGAGGAAACCCACCCTGTCAACTTTCCCTGTGGGAGGAAACCGGAGCACCCGGAGAAAACCCACGAATTTCGGCAGAGCGTTGACTCTTTTCACATGAGTGGCGAACGAGAGAATCGAACCCAGGACCTCAGAGGTGCACGCCTCTTGCTCTGTCGACTGCGCCACCAAAACTCCAAACTTGATATGATTCAAGTCTCACAATGGATATTCAAAAGTTCCCGAGGGAGTAGAAAATAGCGATGTACACGAGTGGTGGAAAAAAGTTCTCCTGAGACTTGAACCAAGTCTGCAGGGGATCCAGCCGTCTGGTAACATTTCCCCCCCGGCAATGTTGGAGCAACACCATTGTGTATTTTGATGACTGCTAAACTGAATCTTTCAGTTTGGTGAAAAATATTTCAGTTGTGCAGAGCCATGCATAGTTAAGAACGGAAAGAGATTTATAAAATGAAAAACTCTTTTTCGCCTTGTACAAGACCACCAATTTACTAACAATTTGGGAAATATTCCGTTACGTACAAAATATACACAATCTTCAATCAGCGCGGAATAAGCGACTGGTGACTAGTCAGTATAATTTTTGTAACAAGTTGTTGCAACTGACAGACGTCATAGCCAGTCTCACAACTAAACCAATGTCTGTAGATTATTACTGTATATTGAGAGATTAAATTCACACTTACTTAATAAAGACCATCTTTTTCGCCTTCACTCCAATAAAACCAGTATGAAATTGTATTTGAAACATCGGAATAGATGTCAGTTTTCCCTGAACTTTACCACCCAGAGTTGATCGTCCATGATAAACACAGATCGTTACATCGCCTTGAATCTCAAGGCGTAGTTTGCAATCAATTTGTTGATCAGAAACTGTATATTCCCTGGGTTAGGAAAAAAATAATTATTGCCAATGACCACATTATGTAGGCAGAATTTTTAAAACAAATCAGGGTGGTAAATAACACATTGGGCTTGGTGATTTTAGGTTTTGCTGAATGTTAATTCATTTCACGTCCAGGATAGGTAACATTCTTCATTGAACTGTTAACGAAGATTTTGGTTTTAATCATATAGAGGGCAAAATTACTCAAATATGATTGGCTAATGAGGAGGGCATTTTTTCTTAATTCAGGGCAAAATTACTTGTACCTGATTGGCTGAGACGCAAGCTTAGCTTTTGTTTTAAATAGCAATAAAAACAATGGCTTCTCGCCTTTCTACGAATTTATTGGTTGGAGTATTTAAGAAATGGGCAGGCAGGGCAGCATTAAGGAACATCGGCGAAGACATGCATGGAGACATACGAGGTTCAAGAACTTGACAAGTTCACAACTTACGAATAAATTTTGCCCTCTATGATTAACAAGTACTCGCATAGTTCCTCGTAAAATTAAGGTTTAATTTCACTTGTGTTTTCAAACTTTGAAAACAGGCGTGAAATTAAACCTTAATTTTACTCGGCCCTATGCGATTACCTATAATAATTGCCTGAAAAAGTTTCGAGCGAAGATCTTTCGACTGGAAGTTAGTAGACAGTTACCTTCTAGAACAAATACCTCAGCTCAAAATGTCGAAGTTGTCTTCATCTTTTCTTTCAGGTATAGTTACGACGGAAACAGTCAGCTTGTGATGTCGTCAGATGACGTTTAACACACTTTGCTCATATCATGCAGATCCTAAAACGTGTAGAAATGTAGGCCTAGACTCACCTCATTTGTTCTATTTCTCGAGCAGTCGTAAGAACTCTTTTATCGCCATTATAAACTTCTATAAATGGTCTACAGCCTTTCCTAAAAAACAAAAGTATGTCAGAGACGCGTTCAGAATGGTATGTCATGAAAACAAGTATTATTTCTAATTTGTACAGTAAAGAAAGTACAAAATTTATTCGGAATTAGGGTATCCATTAAAGTGGAAGTCAAGTCGTCCGTATATAAACAAACGGTTTGTTTACATTTTGAACTGCTGTATTTTTTTAAAATATGATGTACTGTCTGAATATCTAACACCATTTTGGTTCGCTATAGCCTATGCTTCTAAATGAAAATGAAATAGAGTTTATGTTCAGAAAAATTCGAAACATTCGAAATTTGGGCAATGTTTACATTAGAGGTCCTCACATTCAGGGGCGTAGGAAGCACCTGGAGTTTGGGGGGGCACCGGCTTGTAGGGGCACATTACTATCGGAAAGGGCACCTAAAAAATTTTTCCCGGAATGTTTTTTTTTTATCACAAAAAAGGGCACTTTTAGTCCTTTAAAAAAATTGGGGGGGGGGGCACGTGCCCCCCGTGACCCCCGCTTCCTACGCCCCTGCTCACATTGTTATGAGCAGAACCGATGCGCAGAACGGACTTGACTTCCACTTTAACAATATATACTTTTTCGATACATATCTTTTTCGATACATACAAGGTATATAAAAAACATCAACCATGCCTACAGAGTGGAATACTATTACGGTAGTGCCAGGGTTTCTGTCATTTTTAAGACCTGTTTACCATAAACACACGATAGATATGTATTAGACTTGTTCAATCCACAGCAGGCAATTGTAACCCAATCTCGTTCCCCGAGCATGCCCGTTCGCAGGTTAAGGGTGGGCATAGCTCTGGAGAAATCGAATTGATTCACGTTGAATTTCCAACGTGAGTTCTACGCATGCTCGGCAATGTTGCAAAATATAAATAAAGTATTTAGAATTTCGCGTCGAAAGTTTGATACATTTTACACTGAAATTGAATTGAAAACAACTAAAAATTCTGGGGGAAATATGTACGAAAGCTTCGGTTGGATAGGGATACAGCTACCTGAAAAATACAAGGAGAACTTCGATGTTTCGAGCGAAGGCGCTTCGACCTGTGCTGTTTAGTGTTTGTATACATCGTACTTGACCTTTGCTGATACATATAATCTCCTCAATAATAAGTATTATATATTTTTATGCTTTAAAATTTACATTTAACTCTTCTGTCAGAATTTATGGTATACGTAGTGTTAGGTATGACAGTATATAAAAGGTCAAGTACGATGTATACAAACACTATTAACAGTACAGGTCGAAGCGCCTTCGCTCGAAACGTCGAAGTTCTCCCTGTATTTTTCAGGTACTTGTATCTCTATCAATCCGCAGCTTCCTCCACAATTTCTAGTTGTTTTCAATCGATTTCAGTGTAAAAAGTATCAAATTTTCGACGAGAAATTCCAAATACTTTGTTTATATAGAACTCACGTTGGAAATCCAACGTACTATCTGCCGTTAGCCAATCACAGGCCTGAATCAATTCGATTTCTCCAGAGCTATGCCCACCCTTAACCTGCGAACGGGCATGCTCGGGGAACGAGATTGATTGTAACCAGACTTTTATATAGCCCATCACTCCGAGGTACTCCGAGCTCGCAGCGATACATGCAGCTCACACTCCCTATCGGGGAGTTTTTAAGTGACCGCGAGTACATCAAGTATTACGCTCACTTGCATGTATTACCTCCCTAGCCTAAACTATTGTATTCACAACAATATTACTTTTCTAACTATGTTATCCTAACCCACCCTGTCAACTTTCCCTGTGGGAGGAACAGTACAAACCTTGCTCGGTTGAAAAGAGGTACAGGTTCCATTGTGAATGCGTTTATAGTAAGGAAATATTTATGAGGCTTCACAGCTGTGTCGTTTATCAGTTGAGTTATGTAATTAAAATAGCTGCAAAAATAAAAGCAAAATATTAGTGCGTATACATGAAATCGACGAGGACAAAAACAGTTATAAAACGTGGATAAATTAAATTGGTGTCAAATGTTGACAGACTGAGTATCGTCAATGTCATTGGAGAAGTACAGCATAACTTCTTTGTTTATGTTTGTATAGCATATATACAGTAACTGATTTGTTTTTGTCAAAAAATCAACTTAGTGCACTATATCAGGGAATACATAGGGCTCCGACACAACCGCGATGTTCCTAGCCAGTGCGCTAAGGAAAGGGCATCACTCTCAGAAAACATTCAAAATCGTGGCTTTATTCAAAGGCTTCAATTCTCAGTTCGGAGGGATAAGTGTTCAGTCTCGTTATCGTACTGGCTAGGAACATGGAGGCCGTACAGTGCAGTGATGGCGGCAAGGGTTTTTTGCCGAGGCAGAGCTCTGTATAATCTATTATATGTGGTACGGTCTTTCTACCAAAGTGTCGTGATACGTTTGCTTAGGGCATTAAGAGTATATCCCTTATGTATTGAACATAAAAGGTTTCTTACTGTTTTTGTGAAGGACTAGGGACAATTCTTGTAGACATATTTTGACGACGAATATTAAACATTTCAAAAGCACATTCGGGAGACATGAAGAGATGACAATATATAAACAACGATGTGACGAGTAATCCTGACGTAAGCTTGCCATCCTGCCAAGAAAACAGCATATGAGAAATGGGGATAAATAATGGTTCCATGACGACTATTTGTACAGAAAAGAGGCAAGAAAAACTACCTGATATTTATAGTGGATAACTTTATCAGTTCTAAACCGTTTTCTCTCCAAGTATAAGAGCTAAATCTTATTATTAATCTTATGTTACAGCATCAAGAAACCTAAACTTCACTAACTTTAACTTTACTGAATAGCTCTATCAGTTCTGAAATGTTTTCTCTGAAAGTCCAGTAAGAACAAGTTCTTATATTATTCGTCTGGTGTTGCAACGCGGGAAAACCTAAAGTAGAACTAACTTTTTTGTGTGCTAGATAACTGTTTCACTGTTTCGGTTCTAAACTCTTCTCTGGAGGTCCAGTAAGGACAATCTCCTATTATGATCCAGTGTTGCTACAGGGGAAACTCAAAGTAAACTAACTTTATTTATACTGGATAGTTCTATCATTCTAAACTGTTCTTTCTAGAGATCTAGTAAGGATCATCTCTTATTGATCCAGTGTTACTACAGGAGGAAACCTAAACTAAACTAACTTTATTTATACTGGATAGCTCTACCAGTTCTAAACTGTTCTTCCTAGAAATCTAGTAAGGATCATCTCTTGTTGATCCAGTGTTACTACAGGAGGAAACTTAAAGTAAACTAACTTTATTTATACTGGATAGTTCTATCATTCTAAACTGTTCTTCCTAGAGGTCCAGTAAGCGTTATCCTCCAGCGTAGATGTGAGGGAACTGGAGAAAACCTGCAGAGTGGAAAGAGTGGAAGGACCAGACAACTGCAGCATTTGAATCAGCAGAGAAGAAGCACTACATGCACTAATGTTGAAGGATTTTATGGATAAAAATTTCGGGTATAAATTTTATACATTTGTTTACACCTAACCAGGAGCGGTCTATAGTTGCATGCAGCTGCTCCTGCTAAATAAATATATAAAATTTACACTCGATATTACAAAATCCTTCAAATCCTTAGTTGAATCGAGTGATATGCTGAAAAATCCTGATATTCACTGCATGCCACTGTGGCAGCAACACACGAGGAATACGTGGTGATATAGTCCTAAATTGAAAGGACCCATGAATGTGATATACCAACCTGACATTGAATGACGACAACATTTCTTTTATCCATTTTCAACCAGGCAACAATCTTCTTACAAATTGTGAAAATTTTCTCCAGGGGTGGTGCTCTTTTTGGCGACCAGTCACAGTCAAATATCTGTCAGAGATTAGGAAATTCACACTTTATCACAAAAAGTTATAAAAAATCATCAAATAGTCTCAGGGTTTTCAGTTTTTTGTGAAACTCTGCCTAACTATGCAAAGGTTATGGCGAATGACAGTTATCGACACAACCCAAAGGTGGGTGCTGGGGCATGCCCCCCCCCCTAAAATTAGCTAGTGTCGACGCATGGCCGCCGAGAGGGGGGGCAGGGGGGGGGGCAAATTGCCCCGGGGTGCTGGGGGCCCCTGAAAATTTTTTGTTGGGCCCAGTCTTTTTTGTGTGTTAAATATTTGCGCGCAAAGGACAAGATATCTGTTTTATTTGGCTAATTACCGAAATAAGGCATAGAAAAATGAGATAAAGTCCCTGGAAAGTATCTGCAACGTACTCGTCCGGAAATTTTTTACTCCGGAAAAAAAATTTTTACCCCTAAAATGGTACACTGACCGAAATTTTTTGGCGACGGGGGGGAGAGGTCGTTGTCCGGAAAAAAATTTTAACGGAAAATTTTTTTTGATAGGGGGGCCCTCCAAAAAAAATTTGCCCCGGGCCCCCACCAACCTCTCTGCGGCCCTGTGTCGACGTACAAAAAATGATGGCTATTTGAGTGAAGAGATGGATGTTCACAGAATGCTCAGTTTGCAAAATGTACTGAAATGCAATAATGCATTTGAAGGATTGTTCCTTACGATCTTTCAATACGAAATTACAAATATTGTTATGTTATTTGAATGCACATTATATACAGGGTGTATAAAAAAAAAACGGAGTCCAACTTTTGTGCTTAATAACTTTCGGGATGCTACTTCTAATAAAACTGTTTTCAGGGATTATAACGCATTTGAAGTCAGCAAGTGAATTTAAAATAGTGTATTGGAAGCCATTATTACTTGAATTTTACAATCAATTGCCAAAATGCCTCAATTTGCTCGTTTTGTTGACAAAATAAATTATTTTCATCAAGTACCGGTTTGTTATTGCATCTCAAATTTTTGACTCTCCAATTCGCAACACTTAAAATATTATTATTCTGGATTATATTTACGAAACAACCCACCGTTGAAAAGCTGAATGTCTACGCTTTAAAATGAATGTAAACATGAACGTTTTGCTTTAATATTCGTTTCGAAATTTATATTTGAAGCGAGGACTCCGTTTTTTATGATACACCCTGTAGTGTACCTATAGAAAAATGAAAAAGTTTGATTTCAATTAAAGATTATCGAACAATTATTCGCATGCTTTCAGACAAGTTTCATTCAATTCAAAAATGTCTGACATTAATTTTACGTACAATACTTGTTCTCGCATGCATTATTCACCGAGTTTCTAATATTTAACACAGGATTACATTTTAAAGACCCGTTTACAACTAGCTACAACTTTCGTGCAACAACAGTGCGATTTTTTCAGCGAATTTATTACTGCACAGCCTTGAAACGCAGTTAAATTTTCAAGTTTTCAAGCAACACAAAGATTTTGTCTAATTAAGTTGTTCACAGGTTTTCTACAAATGATTGGCTGCAAAAGAAATTCCGGACTGTTCGTCGCCTGTTGCAGCTTATTACACGCAGCATAATATAAAGCCAAGGATTTTTTTCATGTAAAAATGAGTGCTCTAAAATGAATTTCTCCTAAAGCTAATCAATTGTACGAAAACAGCTGTATTGTAAACAACCTAATTAACACAAAATCTATGTATTCCCCATATATAAATTTCCACTCGATAATCTCCATGTACAAGACTATTATTACCCATATACCTTTTGACATTTTAAAAATATTCAGTTGAAAACTTCAATAGCTCAGTCAATATTGCAATAAATGTTCTTATAACACATCGAAACATCTTACTGAACATAACAATACCTATTTGAGTTCAACAGTTGTACTGTACGATTTACATTAAATCAGGTTACCTTTTTTAGTAGGTTAGCGCTACCCCGTATTCCTGCGTTATGAATAATGTGTCAATAAACAAAACTGATAAAAAGAACAAGTAAATATACAAATGGGTAGGCGATGCCTAAAATGCCAAACTTCGGCCTAACTCCCTAAGACAATATACAAACAAATTGCCATTCGCGGTCTAAAATACGGCTGCTTTCCTCTCATGCAGCAAATATTCATCACACGTTTCCTTCCGTGTTTCTCATTTCTCCCGTCTTGCTCTCTCGGTAGTCTATATTTATTCGGGTCATCATGACCATGTCGTTGGGGCAATCATACGTCCAGGTTTCAACGTCTGTGAGCAGCCATAGCACAAACGCACCAAGGGCAAGGATGAACATAACTAAAGCATTTTACTACGGAAACTGACCTGGGATAGGTTCGACGAAGTTTTTTAACTTTTTCCGCTCAAATAATTCCGTTTCCGTCATTCCGCAATTCCAGATCCGTGTTTTGTACCAACCCGCTTCTATTTGCTTCATCCGGAAATTCGTCACATAATATGTTTGTACAGCTGTCATATGTTTCATTGAAATTTCAGAGTTGCAATGCTTCAAAACTGAGTGTATTTGCTGCTTAAAATAGATTAATATTAGATCAATCCTACAAAGAAAGATCATTGGTGTCCAGTACAATAATGGAAAGATGAGAGCAATATTTGGCAAGCTGTAAAGAATGGCTTCCTGCCCGACAGAAGACAAATATGGCTACGATGATGACCGGTTTGAGAGCCATGTCGACGAAAATTTTCATTGTTCTATCTGCTACAATGTTCTGAAAGGGCCAAGGATGTGCAGGAATAACGAACACATCTTTTGTCATGATTGTATCACGCAACATCTAAAAGTCAACACTCAAACTTGCCCTGAATGCAACGAATATTTGAGTGTGGATACGCTTCGTCGGCCGCGTGTGGTGAATAATTATTTGTCTAAGCTCAGAATAAATTGTGACTATGCAAGTCGTGGATGTCCTGAGTTTAGCTGTCTTGAAGAGCTCGAAAGTCATGTTGTCACTTGTGGATTTGCTCCCGTGTTGTGTTTAAATATAGAATGTGGTGTAGAGATAAACAGGCGAGACAGACTGCATCATGAGACTACGGTATGTGAATACAGGAAAGTGAAATGTCACGAGTGTGGACAAATACAGGAAGTTGTGGGAAGATTAGAAGGAAGTTTTATCGAAGTAGACGGGAAAGTGGAAGCAGCAAGGGCGGAAATGAAAAATATGCATGATGAAATGAAGAATATCCATGATGAAATGAAACAAGACCAACAAGAAGTGAAGCAAGAAGTGAGAGGTTTAAAAGCAAATATTTGGAAAATGAACAAAGATGTAGACGACGTCAAGGTGATGATGAATCAAGTATTACAGAAGTTAAACATGCTTGAACTGCTCAACAAAGAGCCACCTCCGACTGCAGGAATGTTGAACACACCAAGGGAGGATATTTTGATTGTAGGGGGTGATGATATTTTCAGCAACACTGGCAGTTGTACAGAAATATATTCCTGGGAAAAAAATTGTTGGTTTAAGATTTCGCCAATGGATGAAGAGATTGAAGGGGCTTCATCATTTATTTATGAAGATCAGTTGTTTGTTGTTGGGGGAAGTGATGACGGGAGAGTAATGATCATGGATCTCAAAGAAGTTCCTTTGAAGTGGACGAAATGTCCTGGAGAACTTCCTTTTGACTGCGCTAATCACCAAACTGTTGTTTGCGATGATCGTGTCATTTTCATTGGTGGATATATCAACAGTTATTCTGAACTGTATAACATGATTAGTGAACTCCAGGTTACCCCACCTTGCAGTATAAACGACTTGTGCCACTTACCTTACCCTCGGCAATGTCATGCTGCAGAAACATTTGAAAATAAAGTTTTGATCTTAGGAGGACAAGGTTACTACTCTGCTGATCCTTTAAGCAGCGTGCGGAAATTTGATCCAATTGAAAATTTATGTGGAAAGATGAGGTCGTTGCCGTATCCCTTGACGCAAATGGCAACAGTTCGCTGGAGAGATCAAGTCGTTGTCCTCGGAGGCCGTGACGAGGAGGATAAAGTTTTGAACGATGTTTTCATGTATGATTGCAAGGCGGGTAGCACCAAAGCGTTGCCGTCCATGTTGGAGAAACGATATGGATGTTGTGCGGTTATTACTGGGGACATAATTGTTGTAATGGGAGGAGAGAATGAGAACGATAAAACTCTCAAGTCAGTCGAGTGTTTTACAATGGGTGGTTCTACATGGGAGTATCTTCCTGAAATGAACTTTGCCCGGTACAGAGCAGTTGCCGAAGTTTTACCATATACAATGAAATATATGTACAGTAAGTGTTTGTAGACATGATCATGTTTACCTAAGCTTAATGATAGACGGTGCAGGAGATATCCAACTCCCGTCAGAGTATTACGGTCTGGTTCCCAGAAAGCCAACCACGTCATTATAATTATTTTCAAAATAGATTGTTGAAAATAATAGATTGCTATATTAAAACAATTTAAAGCTAATGAAATTTTTCCCTATTTGAGACACTATATGATGTGTGTGTTGGTGTATTTTCATATACCGGTGTTTCAGTTAACTTTCATGAATAGTTTACGAAAGTTTGCGATGTGTCTGTTGAGAGATTAAATGGGCAGTGTCACGGGAGTGTCACCGATTTTGACCCTCGCGAATCTTTAGGAATCTTGCACAAAAGTACAAAACCTGAAAAGAATGGTTGTAAGCACAACATAAAACAATAACAAATACAAAATAAAACATGTACAGAAGTCTGGGTGGTCGAGATTGGGCGAGGATTGAGATGGATTGTAAATGACATCTTGATTAATTGTTGGCAGACACTTTTTCAAGTTTAGGTCCATTTGTATGAAAACGTCGTCTTACATATATTGTGTGGAAGTTGTTTAATATGACTTGTATATCATAACTGAACCTATTTATAATGTTTCTTTTCAAATTCGCAGTTCAGACTTTGAATAAAAGACATTTTTGGTCAAAAATTGGTGACACTGCCCCTTTAATTGGGTGACGTTACTAG